CTACTAAGTCAGCAAGTGTGTGTTGAGCCTTCCTCCTCCCCAGGCACTGCCCTAGGTGTGCAGCGGATCCAGGAGGAATCAAGCAGGGCCTCCCAGCTTGGGGACCTCAGTTTTAGGGGAGGAAGCATCCTTGTCACTCATTCAAGCTGCTCTTGGAAAATAAACCCCGTCCTTGTGCACTGCAGTGGGAATGCAAAGTGGTACAGCTGCTGTGGGAAACAGCACAGAGAAAGGCGACCTCACACAGCCTGCTGGGTCAGAGGACGGAAGGGCTGGGTATGAAAATGCCAGGAGAGCCAAAACCGTTTGGCTCAGTGGTAGAGCGTCGGTCTGTGGACTGAAGGGTCCCTGGTTCGATGCCGGTCAAGGGCATGTACATTGGTTGCGGGTGCATCCCCGGTAGGGGGTGTGCAAGAGGCAGCTGGTCGATGTTTCTCTCTCATCGACGTTTCTAGCTCTCTATCCCTCTCTCCTCCTCTCTGTAAAAAATCAATAAAATATATATATTTTAAAAAAAGAAAGAAATAAAGAGAAAAGAAAATGCCAGGAGATTGGTTAGGGGGAGGGAATGAACTAGAAAATTACAGATGGGCAGGTCACAGGTGGGGAGGCCATGTACCGGACATAGACTAGTGTGGTCCCATCCATGGGGCAGCTTTGAAGGGAGCTACAGAGAGGAATTCAGGTAGGGCAAGTGGTGAAACAACTGCAGTTGATAAAAGCCACAGAACCGTGGGGAAGGAAGTAAGACCCTGGCCTCTCAGATTTGTGGTTTCAAACCAGCTCAATCCAACACGGTGAGTGATTCCACCTCCCGGGAACCCCTTACCTCTTTAGATGCTCATTATAATACGCCAGAAGCTACCTGGCACACCAGGGAAACCAAGAGCCCACATAAGGATGCAGAATGGCCGACGGAGCTCCTCCAAGTCCTCTCCACCCCATTTCCGGGACGATTCTGAACTTGCCTCCTCCTCCTCACTGAATGCCCTAACACCCATTTAACAAACCGCAAAACAGGAAGCAAGGCCCACGAAGAAAGAAAGACGGGGCTGCTCTGTCTGGGGGGTAGCTCGCCCTCTCGCTCTCTCGCTGCCTCACTAAGAAACTCACTCTCACTTCATCCTCTCTGCTGGCTCCTCTTTGAATTCTTTCCTGGGGAAGCCAAAACCACACAATGGGTCCCACCCTTCTCCCCACCCCGCCCCTTCCTAGAATGCCTGCATCAGAATGACTCAGCTGTTTGCACTTGAATGCAGGTGTGGGTGGGTGGGAGGCAGGCAGGGGAGTTCCCAGGAACCCACTGGACCCCTAAGAAGGGGGAGGAGCCTGAGGATAAGGGCCAGCTAGCCCTTCTCAGAAGCCCTCACTAGTCACTGGCTGGAACCACTTCTAATACAACTAAGCACAATTGGGGGGGGGGGGGGGGAGCAGAGGGGAATGGCCCTTTTCAATGAGCTGGGAGGTGCCAGCCTTCCACCAAGCTAGCCTCTTGCCATAGGGCTGACCTTGCCCTTGATCTTGCTGGAGTGGAGGGTGGGGTGGAGAACTGGGGAGGGAGGACTCCACTATTCCTAGGGGACTATTTGCATTATTTATTTCCCTGGAGCGCCATACCTCCTCCAAGTCTGAGTCTGCGGAAGCAGGGTGTTGCTCAGAAGGGCCTGCCCCGTGGAGGAGTAGATGCTGGCAGACAGGATATGCCATCCCAGAGGTGGGCTGCCTTGCAGCAGGCACACACCCATGCAGACATCCCTGCACCCACTCAGAGACTCCCAGGCCTGGGTGCTGCAGGAGGGGCCTTAGCATTTCATTTCCCTAAGACATGTATCTGGGACAGCCCCTCCTCCCCCCTCCCCTGTCCCAGATCTTTGCTCTCACTTGATGATTTCATCTTGCTCTCACTTAATGAATTAATGAGAATTAAGGAGGAGATTTAGAAAGCATGTGGACAGCATAGTTGGCCGCCTATAAGACAGGGCATCAAGGCCTTGGAGGAACACCCAACCAAGGGGCTGTGTGCCTCCTGTGGGGAAGGGGGCGCCACGGACAGTTCCATGTGGGGTGTGGGGGGGAGAGGGTGTGAGAGGACTTGGGTAGATGATTTGGGGAGGTTGTTTAGCAGTAGAGCTTTGCTCTGATTGGATGGTGTCAGGAAGTGACCAGTCTCATCCTGGGGCATCTGAATAAATCTGCTGGGCAGGGGAGGGGAGGAGGTCCGAGTTGAGGCTGTAGTTGGCGGGGAAGCCAGTCACTCCTCCTCTGGATCAGCTGGGGGTGGCCTTGTCTTTGGCGGGAAGAACATGTTGGGTGAGTTTGTATGCACCTGCTCCTAGACACACGCAAACATGCCGCTGAGGACTGGTGATGCAGGCTGTCTGAACCCCTCAGGACAAGCCAAATGGCTCTCCTTTTCCTGTGAAATGAGTGTCCATGGCTGATAGGGCTTTTACTGGAGAGGCCGGTCCTGGAAACCAGGCCCAGATCTTTAACCTCTGAGTCTGAGATAACGGTTCCAGCATCCCCGAGGAGAAATACTTGTACTGTTGGCAACCACGATGATGCTCCTTCTCCAAATCCCCACACGGAGAGAACGACAGCTTTTTCCCGCTCTGGGTGGTTAGAGCAGAGAGCTGGGAGGGGGCTATAATGACACAGTTACAAATTATGGACATGCCTCTGCCCAAGAACCGCCCCCGCTGAGCTGCTAGCTGGTTTTCATGATTGCTGGCTTTTCGCTGGGCTCCTGGGGAGGGCGGCTGCGATTTGGCTGCTGCACAGCCCAGGGTGTCACCAGGGACGCGGTTCCTATTTGGGAAAGCATGGGGTGTGGAGAGACAGAGCTTGCAAACGCATATTAAAACCCATCGGTTACCCACGCAATGAACCCCCACCTCCCCAGGCTCAGCGCCAGGCCGCTGAGTGGGAACCGAGGGCTGTGCGGTGGAGGCGGTGCAGGAAGACCTGGTGCCCCGTGACCTACTCCCAGGCGTGCTGACCTGCTCGGCCAAGGGCGAGGGCTTCCTTACGAGGTAGACACTCAGAGTTCCAGGGACTTGCTCAGCGTGGCACCATCGGGGCCAGAACCCAAGGCCTTTGTCTCTACAACAGCCAGTCTACTTCCTAGCCCCGCCCAGGGAGTTAGAAATGGGGAGGACTCTTTGGAGCACACCCCGTGGAACGGCTGCGGAATAGCTCATGCTTGTGAAGCAAGTCTGACAGGCCTAGACGGCATCTTGGTTTTCTTGGTGAGAATCCCTTGGTAAGAACCACTGCTGGTGGTGACAGAATCCTGCTGTCCACAGGCCTGGGTTTACTTCAGCTTCTTAAAATCTTTATGGCGGGATTGTTCCACCTCAACCACCAGCCTGGCCACAGCCTTCCTCCCCTCTGCCCAAGGCTGTGATCAGGGCCATCGGCAGCCAGCGGAAGTGGAGTCCTGGGATCAGACTGGGAGAGAGCATCAGGGCCACAGGTGGGGGGTTGGGAGGGAGACTCGCCAGGGGCTCCCGACTCCAGTGTGAAGGCTGGAGCTGGAGCCAGTGGGCGAATGTGCCAGGTGGGCCAGGCGATGAACATGGAGAACCTAAATTCCTTCTAAAGGGGCACCGAGCTCAGCGCCAGCTGACGCTTGCCAGGCTTCCCATGGGGCCCAGAGCTGCCAGGTCCAAGATGTTTTTCCAAGAGAATCTAGAACTCTAGGATTTCATGTCAATTCTCCTTATTCTGTTGTTAAATGTCAACGACTCATTCAAATATGTTTAAGCCTCTGTGGGTCAAAACCAAACCAAACCAGACAACTCCATAAATCTCCTTCGCAGCCTCCCATGTGTGATGGAAGCACAGATCATTTGTAGGAGAAAGGCACTGGGACGTGGAGGCGGGTGAGAAGCATCTTTATTTCCGGCAGGGGCTGCATCTTCTCCACGTTTGTGAGAGGGACAAAGACAGAGGATTACCAAACTGTGGGAGCCGGGGTAGATACAAACTTCCAAACGGTCACTTGGAGGCAGGATCTGGCCTTTCCCACGCCCCTCCCCTGGTGGGTGAGGCCCTCCTTTGTGTAAAGCCTTCCCACGGCACCCACGGGCTGCAGGCTGAGGGCTGTAGGGAGACTCCTGCCACCAGCTAAGGCCACACCCTCCCCTCCTCTCCAGGGCAGCAGGCTGGGGTCTAAATAAGTGAAGATGCTAAACATAGACGCACGGCCTTCCAATTAGTTTTTTCAAAGTAAAGTCATCACAAGCGTTGGTATTTTACCTGCTATTCGTTAGTGAGATTCACTTGTGACACAATTCACAAATTTTAGGCCAACATGGTTAAGGGATGTTCTAAAAAACAAAGACAAATAGGACAGACTGCCGAGCTTCCCAGAGAGACCAGAACGCTCTTCCTCTGGTGTTTCCAGCCCGTGCGATGGGCTGGGTGGACTCCCTGGCTCACCCAGTCGCCTTGAGGGCATCAGTTACAGGGCTCTCAGGAATGTCATCAGGGACACTTGGGCTTTTGAGAAGAGGTGAGAGCAATAAGAGACCACGTTTCCAAAGCAACCAGAGCATTTCTAACACACACACACTCTCACCTCCCTCACCGGCAGCCGGGAGCCCCCACCAGAACTGGTGTTTGGATGGTGTTCGTCAAATCCCGCCCAGCAGCAACAGCCAAGACACGAAGGACCCCACGTTCTCCGTGTCCTTTGCTCCAGGAATTGACCCCGAAGATGCAGAAGCGAGGCACTGGAGCTTTCCCTGTTACCTCCCCATTTAGGATGACGGTCTGCTCCCTTCACTGCATCTGAGCGTGGAAACTATAGGAACCAGATCAGGGGAGAAAGGGGCAGGTTGGCGGCCGGCAAGCTGACATGGTGTGTCCTCTGGGGAAAGGTGTCTGATCGAAAAGGAGGACTGTGACAAAATGAGAGCAGCAACAAGTCTATTTTTTCTAGGTCGCGTAGGGAACCATCCTAACCTATTTACAAGTGGTCTCCGGGGGGAGTAGCTTTAAATAGCCATCTTGTCACCATCCTTTTCCTCATCTTCCAGGATCACTTTGGGTCTCTCCTCCCTGAGCAATGTCACATCTGCAAAACAAAGCACAGGCCTGCAGTTAGGTGCCTCCAATCAAAGTATCAGACAGGACCCAGCCCACAAGGGCACGGCGACCCAGCGCCTGCACAGCTAACAGTGGCAACCCAAAGAGAGGGAGTGGGGTGGCCCTATTTGGCATCCCCAGAGGAGCTGTGGCTCAATGAGGACACCACGCTGGCTCCAAGGGGGTCTGAGGCAACCGCCACCCTCTTCTCTACATTCTCTGTGCATGCTTGCGGCCTTGTACAGCAGGAAGCATACGACTTTCGGAGTCCAGGTCACTTGGATTCTCATTCTGCCATTCAACCTGTGTTGGGCCAGTCAACACCTTCACACCTCAACGTTTTCTTATGGGAACGAGGACAGGGGTACTTATGTAAAGGGTTGTTCCCTCAATTAATTAGGAAGCAGGGACCATTGCTCAGCACTGCGCCACACCTGTGAGGAATGGAAAGCCTGCGTTCCCTCTCCTTTCACTGTTGGACGGTTTATTTTTCTTTTGTAAAGAACTGGTAAACCTGATGAAGTCAACCTTACACGCATCTTCCTAACACCCAGGTTAAATAGTGAGCTTAGTCTGTCAACATGCCACTTTATATGTCAGCACCAGTCCATTGTAAGTTACCATAGCTCAGAGCACAATGAGAAAATACGGAATGAGTCGTGAGTGGTTCAGACAGCCATTTGGCTCCAGGATGAAAACGCTGCTCTTTGTTGCAAGGCGATTCTTTTTCTTCTTTGGGGGAATTGAAATAACTTTTATGAAATTTTAGGGATGCTGGATAGTTTCTTTCTCAGCATCCTTACTAGGCAAAATGCAAGGTTGCAATCCCTCCCTCTAGTGGGCTCTGCAATATTTTGTTTTAAAATTGTACTGGTCTGTGACAGTCTGAAGCCTGAACAAGAATTTTTTGGACTCATCAGCCTAGAAAAGCTAATCCGAGGAGGTCTGGGTGGTTGTGCTCATCCTGTGGATTGTAAAGGTGGGGTCATGTGAATGAAAACACTAAGGAAGCGGTGACTCAAGGTTAGCCCTCTGTGGTGCCCCCAGACTGATTGTTCTGTTTTCCATCAATGCCTCGCACCCCCCTTCCCCTCCTCCTCATCATCAGAGACATTTCAGTTCACGAAGCATTTCATAAAGATCTAAACTTCAGGGAAGAAAGCTGGGCACCACAAGAGGCCTTTTGACAACCCTGGAATCCATTCAACAGCAGCAAATTAATGAAGATTGTGTGTTGATCTTAATAGCTACTCATTTGATTCAGTCCCTAGTTTGTTCATATGGGCTCTTTACCAATTAGCTGATATTTATTGAAGAAGAAACCAATTTCAAGAGTGTAGCTGAAGCGAAATCTTTTGCATAAATCACTAATGAAACACGGATGGAGATATTTTTCTCCTGTACCAGCTGTGTGGAGGTCTGGGTTTGTGTTGGGAATGAAAGCTATCTTCCTGGAGAACACAGAGGTGGCTATGCTGAGCCCGAAAACTTTTCATCTTGCCTTTCTTGATGTTGCTTGAAGCCAAATTTGGGGTTAATTCAAAAAGGGCAAGAGCCTTAAAAATCCCTGGCCAGTTCTCATGAATTCATCAAACAACTCACTGTTGTAAATAAACTTAAATAACAGCTATAAAATAAGAACAATAGTCAAAGAGATGACAAAGTCTTGGTATTTGCATGTCCATGTCTAAATCAGAGCTAGTTCAGATAGTTATACTAACATAGCACAATGAAACACTGCCCACAGGTAAGACAGACCTTGGTTATAACTTCCAGGGTTTGATTTTTAGCATAATTTGATCCATTCATCCATCATCTAATCATCCCATCATCAAGCCAATTAGTCACCCATGCATCAACTTCATCCACAGAAGACCTCAAAGTGGCTAAGTTACTTATATTCTCTCTCAGTTTATCTGTAAAGGAATATAATAATGACTTTATTACATTATTCAGTTGGTTTATAAAATTCCATCCTCAACTCGCCAACCCAGCTATCCATAACACACACACACACACACACACCCACCACATAGCCTAATCATGAATATACATATCTTATCCCCCAACTTGCATATACAATTCCCAGGGGCAAGAGTGTATACACTGGACTCGCTGCTTTCTAGCCTGGGGTTGTGAACAATGTTAGCAAGATTTCTTGGCTTGATTTGATACATATTAAGTCAGCTATCATTATATCTGAATCTCTCTCTCTCTCTCTCTCTCTCTCTCTCTCTCTCTCTCTCTCTTTCCCATTTTGAGGATTTGGCCCATGTATCCAGGTGTCTTAGGAGAATCAGCCACCAGCTGTAGGGTGCATGATCCTTGGAAGACTGGGAAAGAAGATACTTCAACTCTCCTCAAGGACCCGCTGACATTTCTATTTCATTGGTGCAGTGCATTTGGCCAGTTCTGCTGAAGTATGAGTAATTCTCTGACCCTCCCCATCTCCACATCAGCCCTCGGGGAGCTGCCATGAGAGTAAACCTGAAAGGCAGCAGGAAATGCTGCTCCTCTCCAGAGCTCTCTGAGAGACACAGATTGCCTGGCAGGACAAAGGTCATGCCCACGGCACCTCCAGATGGTGAGGCCCTTGACCTGTTCCCACCGCCCCTGCGAACGGGCTGCACCAGCTCTTTTTACCTGCAAAGGGGGACATGTGCAGGGCAGGTGTGTCTTTTCTCCTTGGCTTCTTCTGCTCCAGGTCAGTGTTCTGAAGAGCTGGGTTCGTTTTGCTCTCTGGGTGTCTCTCTTGGACCTCGTAACTTGTAATTAAATGTTCTGAAAGCACACCTGCATAGTGAGGGAAACAGGGAGAGACAAGGTCAAATACAAGCATCTCAGAGCCCAGGTCTGTGCATCCATCTTTGCACATATACTTGGAAATGGCTGTGCCTATAGCTTTTCAAACTTATTGTAATAAAAGCACTTTCTTTCTGAGAATTAATATCTATTGAGGTGACACCAGAGAACATTTTCTATGAGAAGGGCTTTATTTGCCTGATTTGAATGTGATATTACTGCCACCACCACACATCTGAAGAAAGTGAAGTAAGGGAACGTGACCCGGTAATGCAGCCCACAGGTGTCCGAGCCAGGCCCAGAGCCCAAATTCACCTGTCTCCTCCATCGGAGAGATGGGTTAGTCACTGTTCTGCAAGCCACGTGCTCCGCGCTTCAATGGCTGACTTAGTTCTCTGTCTCCACCCACCTGCCTTCTCACCTCTCTTCATGGGAAGGTTTTCTCCATCATTTAGAAACTCTCTGAAGACAGCCTCCTCTGTAACTGTCCCACTTTCACTGCCCAGACTGAGCTTCTGGGTCCGCATGTAAGGACCACCAGTGTGATATTCCTTCTTACTTTGTAGTTCAGCTTATCTGTGCTTCTGTTGTTCTTTCCCTCCCTCCCTTCTTCCCTCCCTCCCTCCCTTTCTTCCTTCCTTTGAGATTAAATTGGGGTGGGAGGAGGGGAGGGTAACATTGTTTTTTCACAGACAACTCTGTGTTATACTTGCTTTGTGTCCCTGTGAGTGGGCTGTGACTAAAGAGGACCTTAAACAATGGGCCTGGAGGGAGGGAGATATAGGAATAAGACAAAACAGAACGCTTGGGAACAAGAAAGTATCGCATGTCACATGCCAGGTTATCATAGGGACATGTCAGCTATTCCCAAGCCATTCACTTAGCTCCAGGGCACATAGCTGGGCTGCATTGCTCAACCTCTCTACACTCAGGTGAGGCCTGTGATGGGAGGAAGTAACGGGAGCCTCTGCAGGTCTGCCCTCCACTCTGCCTTCCCAACCTGATGGAGGCCCGTGTGCAGGAGGCTGATGGAGGCCCGTGTGCAGGAGGCTGATGGAGGCCCGTGTGCAGGAGGCTGATGGAGACTCATGTGCAGGAGGCTGATGGAGGCCCGGGTATGTGGGTGACCCCCAGAAGCTGTGTGCTGAGGATGTGTCAACCTCCCCCCACTGAAGTCCCTGACAGACTGTTTGGAGCAGAGCTTGCCTCGCCCACCCCCAACTGCTACTATTGGTGAGAGGAAAAAGAACTTGTGCCACCCGCTAATATTTTGGAATTTATCTGTTACAGCAACTGTGTGTATTGTAACAAAGACAGATGCATGAATTGCACCAATGATGACAAAACTCCCAAATCTTTAAGAAAAACAAATTGCAGGACCCATGTGACCCAGCAACAAGCGGGTCCCCTTCACGGGGAGCGAGCGGACTCGTGGCCTCACCGGGTCTGAAAGGCGGGATGTGCGGCACGGGCGTGTCTTTCCTCCGCGGCTTTCTCTGGTCCGCCTCCACGTCCAGGGCAGCCTGTGCGCTTCTCCCCTTTCTTGGCTCCTTTTTGAGCTCGCGGTCCTTAATGAACTGGTCAGAAAGGCCATCTGATTGTGGCAGGATTCAACGGGAGCAGAAGCAACATGACATGGGTGAGCGTCTGGTCACAAACTGGTTGGCTTCCAGTTCTACCTGACGGGAGGGGCAGAAGCCATCGCTCTGCAAATAAAGTATTTCTTCCTTTCCTGTGGCCTTTTCTACAGAGAACCTTAGGAGCCTTGCACGAATGCACGTAGCCAAGTGACACTAGAATTCTGTAGAACTCCAAGTGCACTGGAATGGGATGAATAGTCAAGGCAAAGAGAAACTTTAAAATATCATTAGGCAAGATACAGACTGGGTTTCAGTTACATTTCTGCTGGGAGCACGGGTTCTCTGGGCTAAATGCCTCTTCCCAATGTCCTCTGCTCAAGGCTGGCTTTCGCTGAAGACCCCAAGGGCCCCTAGAGCCTCATGCTGCCTGGGGTCTTGTAGTGGGTGCTCAGCACCTCACCCACCGTCATTTCCATGGCAACCAGGTCACGCTGGTCCTTCACCCAGGGGCTTCACCGAGGCCTTTTCACTGCCTTGGCTTTCCACCGCTACTATTTGCCCAAGAGCCTTCTCAGAGATGAAGGATTTCAGGCTCTTTTGTAATTTTATTCTCAATCGCCTCTCTTCCCATAAGTGCATTGAATGCTGAGTAGGTGGAGAAGGACCGACTGGAGTTCAAATCCTGACTCTGACACTTGCTAGTTCTGAGAACTTAATTTCAAGAAACTTTGATATTCTCTTAGCTTTTAAAGTGGGCATGGCCAGTATGGCTCAGTTGGGTAGGTGTCTCCCTGTGCACTGAAAGATCGCTGGTTGGGTTCTCAGTTGAGGGCATGCCCACGTTGTGGGTTTGGTTTCTGGTATGTATGAGAAGCAACCGATAAGGGTTTCTCTCTCACATTATGTTTCTCTCTCTCTCTCTCTCCCTCTCCCTTCTTCTCACTCTAAAATCAATATAAACATAAAAAATAAAATGGGGGAAATATTAAATTAGTGTGTACTAGAAAGAGAAAGAGAGAGAGAGAGAGAGAGAGAGAGAGAGAGAGAGAGAGAGAGAGAAAGAGAAAGAGAGATAAAGCTGATAATATTGGTAAAACACTTGATATATTTGATATGTTTTAGATGCTCAAAAATATTTCACTCTGGCCATTGCTCAGCCTTAACACTTTCTGATAAGCTCAAAGAAAAGCCCCCCAATATTCCTAAGTCCTTTCATACTGACCCCAGTCCTGGGTGTTTGTTCTCATTTTCTGAATTTTTACCCATTGCTTTTTTTTTTGCTTGTGTGGCCCCTTTAAAAGATGATCTAGGTATTATTACTGCATGTCTTCTTTGACCTCTTTGATGACAAATAGCTTGTATTTTATCCTTAGCAACAATGAATAAATATTTGTTGAATGTATGCTTGAATGAATAAACTCAAACACATTATGTAGAAGGATCTATTCTGTTAGGATTCAAAGAAGCTACAAGGCAATAAAGCTATTTGTCTTCTATGGAAGTTCACTATTGCCCGGATAAGGTCTAGCTAGATCTACAAACATGAATGAATTTGGGAAAATTCAGAGATTAATGGAACCTTTTTAGCTTCCTCTCTTCCTCCCTCTTCCCTTTTCATGTCCCCCCTCTCTCTGTGTCTATCTTGTTTTTCCTGTTTTATGAAAACATTCAGGTCAATTTCTTTCAAATATTGAAGATTAAATGCATCAAATCTTTCCATTTCAGTTTTGTGAATTTAGACATAACTTGTGTCATTATTCATTTATTTATTCAACAAATGTTGATTAAGTTTCTATTGTATGACTAAAACAAGTAAGAAATAATCCTTGATATCAAGCTGCTTCTGGCCTATTAGGCTTTATATCTGGATGATCTTTTGTTTCAGAAAACTCAATATACATGAGGAACCTATTATCAGAAATATTTAATAACCATACATCATCAAAAGATCATAATATATAACCAAAAAATTAAACAGCATCATTCTCTTTAGACAATTTAATAGTAATAACCATTTCCTTTCACCTTAAAAATTTAATTCTATAATTTCAATTTAATAAATATTAATTGAGATTCTACTATGTGTAAGGCACAGACTACATACTTTTATCTTTACTTACACCAGCAAAAGGAGGGGAGTTCAAATCATTCTAGTGCATGGGATGGACCAACATCTTTTCTGATTTGTCAAGGCCTGTGTTTACCAGTTGTTAAATATTCGTAGATGAGAAAACCCAGGTTTAGAAGGCCGAATAAAAGGTTGAAGGTTACATGGCTGGTGGTAAGGGCATCAGGCTTAAATCCAGGCTCTTGGGACTATGAATCTTAATGCCTGGTTAAAAATGCAATTTTAAAGATTTGTTACACATGGCACACTTAACCTCCCCCTGCCACACACACACACACATATGCACACTTTATACATACCATAGACATTTGTTGAATGAATGACTGAATGTTGCTCAGAATGGGTGCTGCCCAGCTGTGGGGTCTCTGGATGTACAAATAGGACACAGACTAGTCATGGGGTCACCATTCAACCCCCAGGATATGACTGTGTCCATAGTACATAGACCAAGACATTTGCTTCAACTTTAACTTTTAGTTCAATTTCACATTTCCCCATTTTTGGAGAATTCTGGAACATAAAATATCTTGATGGCAAATGGGGAAAGGGTGGTGATGAAAGGAGCCATAACCAGGCGAGGCATAAATGAAGGCTATGAATATGCAAAAGGCCCATCCGTCAAAGTCTGAGTGTCTCATTTTTAGAAATGGGTAGAGGCAGAAATGTTTCTGGTATTTTCATTACAAAGGTTATGTGAAAAGTCAGGTCTGGAAAGGAAACAGATTGACAATAAAGCAGAACGGGGCTGTTTAGAATTCTGTCTGGATAGGCAAAGGGAGATATTTGAAATATTTTATTGGCACCCCACATGGGGTGTGTGTGAGCCAGGAAATACTGGAAATGAGCTACAGTGCCACTTTCCATCTATTGCCTCGAAATGCTCTGCCTGGAACCCTTTCAGGGCCCAAAAAAGATAACAATGCCTTTCCTCTCCTTTTTTGTTAGAAGTCTAATGAACCTCTCTCCAGTGCTTCAGCTAATATTTACATGGCAGGCCCCACGAACCCATGGCTATTTGTCCATCTGGGTTGGCTGTCACCAGAAGGCACAAACTGTCAGGTTTGAGGGGGCCTCCCTCTGACTTGCCTGCAGACTAACTAGCAGAGACCCTTCCTTCTGACTTTCGCAACTGACATTCCTATTGGAGCACTTACCCAGGTGGCTGCAACGAGGGTCGAGCTTGTCCAGTCTGTCCTCCGAGAGGTCCAGTGGCTGCATTTGCTCAGTGGACATCATCAAAGGAGGGCTGGTGTGTGTGTCTCTTCCCCAGCACAACAGAAGTATAAGACACAAGTCCATTAATATGTCTTCTATTCATTCATTCATTCATTCACTTGTTAAATAATATCTATTGAGCACTTACTATGTTCCCAACTCAATCCCATTTTTCAAATCTGCCTCTTCTTCTACTTAGCTACTAGAAGCTCAAATGTAAAATATGAGCTACAATAAATCAATGCACTTGGATTTGTGGGTAATTGGCATGTTTCAAATATTCAATATTTGTCCTCTCTCAGATGCACTGCGGGGTTTCAGAATGAACACTTGTCAAATCTGAGTTAGAAATGAGTTAGCTGAGAGTTGCAGAAAGTATTGATTAAACCTTCCCTATATTTTCTCTGTTGAATTCTGCAAAGCAAGATTGCGCCTACTTCACAGAAGGCAAAACTAAGGCTCAGATATTCTAATTTATTTACTCACACATCTATTCAATAGCCATGCCCAGACACAAATCCACTCCTAGACACTCCAGTCTCTTAAAAATAAAGTGGGTTTTTGGAGCCCTAACTGAACATATCCTCTGGGTTTGGACCATTACATTCTCTAACTAAAAAGTGATAAAACTTCCTTCTCAGCCATATTATAATGGTAGTAGAGAGGTGGTAAGAAAAAAATCTAGGTCTTGAAATAGAGCTTTATTATTTTCTCCCTAGGGATTTTTGACATTAGAGCAAGTCTGTTTCCCCTCCCCGCCCCACTCCCGTCTTTCCTAAACCACAAATCCATTGAACTTTCCAAAGCTATTAGTTGTAGACATTGCCCAGGAGAAGTGGAAATCCAGAATGGACATGTGTCAGGACTGAATGAGAAATGCATTAGTTGAGATTTACAGGAAATCCTCGTTAGAGTATACCTAGATTCTGCTTTCTTGAATTTCTTTCATATAACTCATTACTCATGTCCTACCATAGTAAGAATAGTTGGAGAGGAATAAGATTAAAATTATCCACTGGTCCTCTTGATATTCCTAGACCCTTGGTATGCAGGGGAACGCATGCACATAGCTATTGAATGAGTTCAACTCCATTGTCTTAGGAGTAATAAGCCAGTTTTCTCTGGGAGACTGGAGGGCCTCTCCCCCTACAGGCTGAGATCATTGCTTAGCAGATGGAGCCATTAAGGGATTACTCGAGCCTGGCTTTTAGAGTCACTCTGAGCAGACTGATTGTACCAAGTGACCTCAGTGGAGATCAATTTATACCATCGTCTTTAGTGTTTGTACACAGACTTCCTAGTCCCTGAGACATAGGAAGCATGTTGTTAAGCTGGGTGGTCAGCCCCCACCTGCTTGAGTTCAGAGGAAAGCTATGGGGCTACCTTTCAGAATGAATGGCTCGGTGTTGAGGTCTAGAGGTAAAGTTATAGCTTCAAATATGGCCTGTGCATCTGCGTAACCAATCTTCCTCTTCTTTGAGCAGAAAGATGTTAGCCCTGTTATAGACTTTGTGCTGAAAATCACCCCCTGGAGAGAACCTGGTAAAAAATATTCATTCTCCAGAAGAGGTGAAAGATGAGCTTCCATTAGTTACACAGTTTGAGTCAGAGTCATCATTCAAAGTAAGGACTCCTACCTTTCACACTAGGTGCTACCTGACAATAATACTCCTCCTTCTCTGCAACCCAAAGTAAGCTGTTCTTTGTAGTTAGATCATAAGACTGCTCTTATGTGCCTCGTAGATGATTATTTAATTGAAACCTGAGCTTTTAGGTAGATCTAGATTAAATCTCAGCTCTTGAACTAAAAAGCCAAATGACTTTGATAGAATATCTAAACTTTAATCATGTAGTGAGGGTAAGTAGAGTCAAAGAGCAATAGCATCATGTATGCTCTTCCTCCCAACAAGCTATTGCTGCTATGAGAGGATTTGCAAAACCTGTGTAGTATGCGACTGGACACTCAGGGACATATTTTCCCTTGTGCTCCATCCCTAGTCTTATCCTCAGTTTTCTTTTCTGCAAAATAGAGATCAGAGTGTCTGTCTTATAGAGCTACTCTGAAGATGTACTAGGACCATTTCATGCTTTGCATGTTGTAGCATGTGAGTAAGTGGCAGCCATTGGTAAATAACATTTGCCTATACCCAACTAAAATAGCTGGTTACTGAAGACCAGGTGAGTACCTGAAAAATTCTATGAACTTATTGAGTCTTCCAGTTTCAAGTAGATGCTGAAACATGAGACCACAGCCTTCACCTGAGCAAAATGGTTATTGTTGTACTGAACTTGAGAGGCCTACCCTTGGGGATAAACTGTACAAATATCAGAAGTCCCTATTCAAGGTGGGGGTATCCAGGGATTAGTCACACATGGGACACCTGTTTCCTCCAGGATAGCACCTGGTGTCTTGGGGGAACAGCACTACTTTAAATCAGTGGAACTGAAAGAATGATGGGGGTGAACTGGCAAGCCTCTGCTGGTTAGGAGCCTGATAGACATGACATATCTCATTATAGATAATACCCCCGTGCTGGGCAGGGACTTGGTTTGCTCATGGGAGTAGAAAACACTTTTATCATGGATGATGTCATTATGGTCTTCTTGGCAAAAAAAAAAAAAACCCTTCACATGGAGGCAAGAATAAATAAGGAGAGAGAAACTTGGAAGTCAGCATCACCTTGTTAATAACCATCATTTTACCTGCCTGTGGAAGGTTAGGATGAGATGACCCCTCTCTCCTACCACTCTCCATATGTATCCTCATGGGGAGGGTGTTCTGTGGGACTGGGCCATTGTAGGACATGAAATAGTCTAATTCTTAAACTGTGAAAAGAAATGTCTCAACTTCCTGTCCCCTGGAAGCTCACTGTAACTTGGGATCTTCCTGAAGCACCAGCTCCTTTCAGACCTGCATACCTGCTCCCCTGGGTCTTCAGGTTCCACCCAAAGGACTAGGCCTTAAGATTGGGGGATTTCATAGCTGTTCTCTAGTACAAAGGTTTATGGTCCTTTAACATTGTCTTGGTTCAGTGTGATTGCTGAATGTTAACATTCACACAGCGGTGACTTGGACTGCCACTGTGCTTGTCAATATCAGCCCGCCCTCCCGCATCTGAAAAGCCAGGGCCCATGTGCTATGGACATCCGGAAATTGGTATTATGTAACACTCCGGAGGGTCTCAGCAAGCACCACAATCACATGCGTTACTTCTGCAGCAAAAATATGAATATTTCCACTAAATGATATAGCTGAAGAGCATGAAAGAATTTGTATTCTTTCAGGTCAGGTTTTCCTACTAATTGCATTTATGTTGAACTGAACAACAACAGAACGCTTTTGGTTTTCAAAGTGTTTCATGTTTTTCAGTGAGAGAATAAATAATTCTGGGTCTGGATTATTTTGTCTAAGGCATTTGAGAGCATGAGGGTGGTCTGGTGTAGCATGTACCAGAGACCAAGTGACATCATTTTCAAGGGTGGACGAAGTTTTCAGGATCCTGATGCTAAACTCTTGCAACTTCCTCTTGCTAATTCTTAACACTTGAGAAAAACACTCTTTTTTCCCCACAGAGACACACTTGTGAAGCAAATATCATGGAGAGAAGAGACATTAACTGAAGTCGCACAGAGTATGGTTACATAGGTTGCTTTCTCTTTTGAGAAAGGAATGAGAGATACAGGGCCCTGGTTGCCAGGGAGGGACCCCACCCACAAAGTTGCAGAAGGACAGACACCCAGAGCAGCCTGCTGAAGCTGAGGACCCATGTGGGGGAGCCTGACTCCACTAGCTAGCTCAGAGCTGGTTACTACTTCAGGAAGACAGAGGTGCTATTTCTGCAGCTAAAAAAGATTGGTCAGTCAATTGGAGGTCAGAAGCTAATCTGGGCGTTTTTTTTTTTTTCTTTTAGCACCTAGCAGATTCCTCAGCTGGGTGTTAGAATACATCATTTAACTCATGGACAGGGAAGTCCTCACTGATGGCAAGCATTTGGTGTTGGACGGCGATATGAGGTGAAAACAAACGTTGGGTTACTTGTGCAATTCTCTAGCTGGGTGGACTTGGGAAAGTTCTATGTACTCCTGGAAACTTGGTTTCTATATTTATAAAACGGGCAAGATAGTGACTCTGCTCCAGGGTTGAGAGTATTAGCAGCACAATGTGTGGAAAGCTCCCAGCCCAGACCCCAGCATGCACACTAGCACTTTAAGAAATGTGAGCTGCCCTCTTTGCTCTTTCAATCTCCCCTTGTGATTACAACAGGTATGTCTAAACGGAATGAGTGGACTCATCTCATCCCATCTCTGGCCTGTCGGAGGCTAATGACACAATGCAAGGTACCACCACCTGCAAGGTCTCAAGGACGTGATGATTCTGATGCTCAGGAAGGAGCGAGCAGAAGGAGGAAGTGGACACCCCGCTTAGCTGAAGGGCATTCTTAAGAACTTACCGAGGCCTCAGGCCTGGATTGACTTAAAGGCATAAAAAGTGACAAGGTAATGTCCACAGCCCAACGTGGAGTGGAGTCGGGTGAAAGGACCTTCAGGCCATGTAAAATTCATATCCTTTGTCATATCTCTTTCTAACCTGAGGATTGAATTCAGGTCGAAGAGTACCGCATATTAAAATCAGTTTGCTTGTGGAGAAGACCTAAGTTTGCAGTATTCCTGGAGGGCGACTCCTCCGTGAAGTGGGGCACAGCGAGGATTTTTGACAAGCACACGCTCCCCAGCCTTGAACGCTCAGCCTCCCCATGCTGCTATGTGAACCTGCAGCCGCACGGGTGTTTTGGAAACTTCGCAATTTAAATCGCAAGGACCCTGGTTCTCACACATCTCAGGACTCCATTGCCCTTGAAAATGACGGGAAAGTGGTGACTTTTCTGATTCCCATTCAGTCCCAGCTTAGCCTTGCTCCAGAAAGCACACACACCCCTCTCCCCACAACCTGGCCATCCACTTTCTAGCCTTCTTTGCCCCAGCAACAACAAAGAAACCAGGAACTTAGGGAAACTTGTTTT